AATAAAGCTCAAATTGATTCTACGTTTTAGTTAGAAAACGTTTGTTTGAGAAAAAGAAAAGGGCTGTTTTTAGAGTTTTCCCGGCAATTATTCGATTTTTCCTCGCTGTAAGAACCATCCTCGGACTTTAACAAACATTTAAAAAAAATAATTGGCCAAATCGGTCCAGACGTTGTTGAGTTATGCGCTTACCAACACATTTTGCGAAACATTTTTATATATAAGAAGATAATATACCCTATATGTCCCAAAGTGTTTTTGCATTTGACAATTTTGTATGCCAGTAAGTAATCGGCATTATTGTAAATAGTTCAAGTGATTTATAGAATTTTATTGTTTTTGGTATTTGCTGCCACAGCATATGTAAGTCCTGCAATAAAATTTCAGCATTCTTGTACAAATGGTACGACCTTGAGATTTTTATTAATCAGACCAAATTTTTTATGTTACTGTAAATTATGTATCCTAGGAACTAATCGTCTTATGTTTGCATTAGAAATTGTTAGAACATCTAAAAAAAATTCTAACTATATATTTTTTTTTTTCTGTTCCTCCTCCAATAAATCTCAGTAGTACATACATGTCCTATTTTGTATTCCAAGAAGCAGTCGTCCTTGGGTTATGTTCTTGCAAATAGCTCAAAAAGATATAAAAATTTATTTTTTAGTTTTTAGTATTTATCATAGTATATATACCGGCATGTCTCGCAGTAAATTTCTAGATATTTTTATTAATCAGATCAATCTTTTTTGCTACTGTAAATTTTGTATTCCAAGTAATAATCGCCTTACGTTCGCATTAGAAATTGTTAGTACTTCTAAAAAAATATTTTATAGATTTTCTATTTAATTAATTCTATATATTTTTTTAATTTCTGTTCCTCCTCCAACAAATCTCAGAAGATACTTCCTTATTGCATAATAATAAGCTTACATCTTCGAAGTTCGAGTCTTCTGGGAGGCTTTTAATATTAACAGAGAAAGTGGCAGTTCTGTAAGAGGCTTTACTACCATTTCAAATATAATATACATGCGACATTTTAATAAACCCCAATTTAATACTATTAGGTTATCTTCTTCAGGTATTGAAAAAATATTTAACATTAATAATGAAATAATTTCAATTGTCCACGATCTATTTAATATTCATATTTATATTTCAGTTGATTATAAATGCTATAAATATCTTTCGAACAGTATTTTCAAAATGAACTATTTTCAGGACATAACGAGCTATTGTAATAAATAATGTGTGTGCTATTGTAATAAATAATTAGAATTATATAAATAATGGAATTACAGATATAGTAAATCAAAACTGATGTATATGTTTTTATAATTTTAAATAGGCGATAACGTATAAAAATATCATTCTATTTTTAATGAAAAAATTAACTGCAAATTGTTCAAATTTATTTTTAATATGTTAATTTTAATTATTCAATTTTTACAGAGGAAAAGGTATAAGTAGAAATTCTGCAAATTTAAAAAAACTTTATATATTGCTCACTCAGTTTTAAAGAAATAATACAATTGTACTCTGAAAAACATTTTTTTTTGTATAAAATGCTTGAACAAAATATAACTACAAACTTTCAATTTTTTATATTTTTTCATTTGATTTCTAAATTATATTCAAAATTGCATTTTTTTAAACTACCCAGTGTGAAAATCAGGATTTATTTTTTTTATCATAAATATCATTATTGATATTAAATATTAAAGATGTCCAGTTATATATATATATATATATATCATCTTACATCTTAATTATTAAGTTCAACAAGTTTTTTAATTACAAATCATAATAATAGAATTTATGCACTACGGGGCGTAATGGACAAAGTTTCCAATGAGTTTTCTTTTACAAAATTCTTTTTTTTTTGAAACTAGTAATGAATAACTTTGAATTATTATGACTAAATGTTAATATATATTCTTGGAAAATGTTAGCAGTCAAAAATTTTAAAAATAGTATGTAATTATTAAAAGATATTTATTATCTGTTGTTGAAGCGATTAAATTTCTTTTAGAAAAAAATATTTGTCGATCAAAAGTGAAACGTGTCAAGTGAAAAGTCCGTTTTATGTTAAACTAATTTGTTCAAATAACATTATAAAAAAATATTTATTTATATATGTTATTCCTGGTGGCTTGTATAGTAGGTCTCAATTTAAAAAAGCTATAAGTATTTTTTTCGTAAATAGTTTAGTACTACTGAATAGTATGAAAATATACAATTGTTTGAACAAAACAAGGAAATGAAATAAAATATTGAAAGTTATTGAAGGGATGAACACGAACCTAAATGTATTATATTTTAGTTATTGAAGGCAAAACATAACACATAAAAAGTGTGTATTAAAAATAATATTGTAAATAACAAATCCATTAAAACAGGATCATCAGTAATTTCTTAATATACATATTATATTTACATTTTTTCTTCAACATTTTTTCTATCAACATTTTTCTTAGATTTTTTTTCTCTAAATTTATTATTTTATAAACATAACGCAATACTTTTTAGTATTGAATAGTATTTATTTTTGGCGAATTGTGTGCTTGTTTTTTAAAGAAAATATGTTATAAATATAAGTATACGTATAAATATATATATATATATATATATATATATAATATGTTAGAAGAATTTTTATAAAGCATAATGTCTTGGGGACGTTTTTGTTGAAACATCTGCTGTACAAATTATGTGCGTTCATTAATCTAGCAAATATTATATACATATATATATATATATATATATATATATGTATATATATAAGAAAATATATTATTTAATAACAGAAAAGAATATGAGCATAAAGCAAAAAAATCTTGGAGAGATTTTGTTAAGACATGCTCTTAGCGCAAAGACATTTGCAGACTAAGCTAAATCTTTATTAAATTAAATCCTACATATTATATATATATATATATATATATAATATATATATATTATATATATATATATATTCCAGTTAGATACTAAAATTTACGTATATTTTTAATTAATAGAACAAAGTAATTGAAATTAAAAGTCATGTATAGAATTATTCTAGCGTTATTAATATTGTACTTTTAATTTATCACTTGAACTGATCTATAGTTTCCCTTCATTTCACACAAAAAATGTCTAAATATCACTGCAAAATTTGCAAAATTTCAACACTAAGATATAGAGAGTAATTTTTTAACACAATAAAAACCAACCGAGTCGTTCAAGCACTTTCGTGACATCTAATTGATGAAAATGAAATGTGTCAAATTTATTTATGATATTATAATATAAAATTTAGTTTCCCGCTAATGACCGGCAGAATTGTAGACAAAACGTATGTATCTGAAATGAACATTATAAAAAAATGTAATATTTTTTTATTAAAGTTGAGTGCGCTTATTGGACCTTCAGAATCATGATTATATACATATCTATATATAGATATAGTATTTATTTGTGTGTGTTTATATGTTTTTGTGTATAATATCTTGGACAGATAATGAAACAACGCCCCAAAATCGTAAAGAGAAGCGAAATTTGTTATTTTGTATGATTCGCGCGCGCATAATATATATAATATAATATCGCACGCTCTATAAAATTCTATATCTTTTCATTACGACCGAGGACCATGATGTTATTATACATAAAACGAAGCTATATATATATATATATATATATATATATATATATAAACCTCGTGTCACAATGTGGGTTCGCGATGGACGCCCAAACTACTGTACCGATTTTAAACTTTATTAGTTCATCGTGGGAATATATATCTGACTTAGGTTATAGGAAATTTAAAAAAAAAAAAAAATATTAATATTTTATTTTTATAAATTTCAATAAATTTTAACAGATATTTACTAAAAAACAAAACAATAAAATGACAAATGCCAATATTTATGGAAAATTCGAGAAAAAAAGATTTATGATTTTTGAAAAAAAAAATTGACAGTTCAAAAAATATAATTCAAAAACATATACATATATAGATATATCCAACATTTATATCCGAATTAGATGAAATGCTATATTCAAAATCACTGTTTATAGTTTAAATCTAATTAAAAATCAATGTTTGTAATTTTGACATTAAAAAAATGTGAAATGACATTTGTCAATATTTATGAAAATTATTAGATATATATATATAATAGATTTATAATTTATATTCATTTGATTTGCTTACCAAATTAGTTCGGATACCAAAACTTGCTCAAAACATTACAGATAGATCACAATGAAAAAGCGGCATATTAAATTTAACATTAATCATAAACAAAATTTTGATAGTTCAAATTGAACTTTTAACAACTTCAATAAGAAACAAACACGTTAATTATTCCAAGTTATTTTATAAGCAAAATTGCCAATCAAATTATAGATACAAAACATTAATTAAAAATAAATTATATTAATTATTATATTATATTAAATTTCGACCAAGAAGGAAATTTGATGCATATTGGATATATGAAATTGACATTCACTTTTTTAAATTAAATGCAATGTATATGCATTTTGGCGTGAAGAGTAATTTAAAAAACAATAGTTATTATTTTTGCATAAAAGGTAAATCGTAGTATAGGATATTAAAAAATTGTAGGCGTGGGAACAGGACAATGTCTGTCGGGTCATCTAGTATATATATGTATGTTGAAAGTTATACCATAAAGAAACAAAAGCATTTTATTGATGCATCTAATTATTAAAATAAAATAAAAGTACATTTTTTTCTAAACGTTTTTAAAACTAAAAAAATAAATAAATTAGGCTATATAATGCTTTTTTCATACCTTACTTACTACTTTCTTCATTATCTTACTTATTATCTTAAAAGAGAGTAATAATTGAATTATGTAATCTTCTAAGTTTTTCTCAACACGTTCTATAATAATTATCATTTAGTTAATTAACAAAAGTAATAAACAAAGAACTGAATTAAAATTTTATGTACACAAAAGTCGAATGCAAAGAGCCATTTACAAAATGCGTTACGATAAAAGTTCGACGATTTTATCCAAAATCGGACTGAAACATAAAAAATATCCAGCATCCGTCAAATGTACGAAGTCGTACATTAAGTTTTGGGAAATTCGTCCATTTCGAACCACATCTTTGTCTATCTCCACCACATGCACTCTTTCAGGCTTCATAACCTTTATGGCAAAATATACGATAATAATAATTTCAAGTATCTAACGAGTATTAAATTAAATTTACCATTTACCTTCAGCATTGCAAATTCTTCGTCCCTCAATTTTCGAATTAATTCGCTAACTTGTTTCAAAATGCGACGTTTTGCATTGTCGTACTTTCCACGAGGCAAAAGCGTCTAAAAATAATAAAATAATAGAAAAAACACATATTTATAAAAATTATTTATTCTCTTTCTACTTACTGGTAAAATAACATCAACATCAGGAACAGCTTCATGTATACAATTAACACACTCCAAAATTCCTTGAAACATCACACCAGCATCTACACCATTATTGTTGGTTCCAGCCAACAAAACCACAATTTGGAAATTCCCTTCGTCCAGGGCACCATTTTTAATCCTGTACAAAACATTCTCGATTTTATCACCACCGATGCCCAGATTTAGACAATTCAGCTTTTCGAATTTTGGCCACATCTCCGATTTCGACAAATTGGAGATGGTCGAGTCTCCTAGAAGGACGACTCTGCAAGTCGTGCGTTTGCAGAGACATCTGTGGTTACTGTGCTGGAAAAGATAAAGGAATAGTAAAAATGAAAAAAATAACTAGTCGTTTATGACTATTGCTAGTATTTAATATGAATTTTTTTTTGTTGTAACCTTGATCAGTGTCCACAATGCACCGCTATCAATAACATTAAATATAGGAGGGCAATATGTGCTCCTTCTATTTCTCGTTTGTTAATATAATAGTTAGTATTATTTTACACAAATTTAGTGTTCAATCAATTTTACATCATAATTAATTTTTTCTGTTGTTTTTCCTGGTTTGTTATATATAATTTCCTCCTTTTTTTATATATTTATATTTATCATCAACTTTGTATTTATGTAATATATTTTTTAGATTACTGAATGATGACACACACATCAAGTGTCGGAACTTTTAATGGAATAAATAATTTTGTTATTTAATCTTTTTTTAAATTCGACAATCGGGCTGCAAAAATATTACAAATATGAATTTTCTTGTAAGGAGATTAACTATTTTTTAATTTTAACAATTTTAATATTAAATTTATAATTGCAAACATTTTTAACTTCCCGTAGGGTATCTGAACATTTTGGCATACTTCAGAAAAAATGGATGTGTGTGTGTGTGTGTATGTATGTATGGATACAATTTTTCGCCCACGTTTTCGGGCGTACGGATCAACCGATTTGAATGGTTCAAAAAACATTCGATTCCTATCGATAGGGAAAAGAGCTGATTAGTTTTTGGCAAAGGCGGTTCCAGCCGTTTCGAAGATACGGAGCTAAATGTTAAAAAATGGCAGTTTTCGAGTGAACTAAGCGTCCGATTTAAATGATTCAAAGAACTTTCTGCTTGTCTTAACAAAATAATTGCTTTTGGAAAAAATGTTTGTTTCTAATTTTTTTTTCAAAAATATTTTTGTAATTTGCATTAGTTAACCAAAAACTTATATTTTAAAAAAATTTAAAAAATTGTGAAACAAAATATTTCCTTCATCAAAATACCTAAAAATTTGTAAAAGAAAAAAATTTATATTGTAAAAATACTTAACAATAATAATAAAAATGATAATGATAATAAATAATAATAATAATAATAATATAATAATAATAATAATAATAATAATAATAATAATAATATAAGACACTTAAATTTGGTAAAATTTATAAAATAACCTAAAATTTGTTAAATAAAATAATTATATTGTAAAAGTATTGTAAAGCTTATTAAAATATTTATTAAATTTTTAAAAAATACTTGCAACAAACAAACTAGTTATATTTAAAAATAATTAAAATTAACTAAATATAAATTAGTTTATATTAAATAAATTAAATAATAAATAAATAAGTAATAAAATAGCTAATAATTAATTAAATTAGTATTAAACCTATAAAATATTGACTTAAGCCTTATTATAATATTATTATACCGACGGCTGGTAAAATAAATAAATAAATAAAATTAAATAAAAAAATCACCCAGGCTAAGCACAGTCTAAGCACCACTCTCGTGCAAATGTTTTCGCAAGTGCGTTTAGACTGTTCATGTACACTGGAGCACTTTTTCAATTTTGTGAAAACTATTGAAAAATGTGAAAATGCCGCTAAGCTAAGCACAGTATAAGTGAAAATGTCGCACAGAATTATTTGCAAATGCGTTTAGACTGTGACTATACAGGTGCACTTTTTCAATTTTGTGTAAATTAGGCAACTATTTTTTTTTGAAATTGAATTCGAAATGAAATGACGAACGATTGTTAATGTTCTGGAGATAAATTGATTTATTTATAATTTACATTTGATTTGCTCAGATATGATAACAAGATAGCAAAAATAATAAAAGATACAGTACTTGTAATAATATATTTGAAAACGTTTAAAATTTCTCGAATATATCATTACGGTACGGGAAGTTCCAGCAATTTGCCTTAAGGCACGATGCCATACACCACTAGTTTTATTTTTTCACCACTCAAAATTTAATTGCCTACAATTTGTTAAAATACGATTTTGAACTATTTTTTATAATTTCTGCGAAATTTAGCAAGTATGTACTAACTCCAAGTGTATCTCAAGCAAATGTAAAAGTGCAACTTGCCAATAGGATTTTCCTGATTATCATTTATCATGTGACATATCGTTGAAACGAGCTCAAATAGCAGAACACGAATCCACTATTTGTTTTCATTAAAAATTTATTATATTTATAATAAATATTTTTTTATCTCACCGTTTCCAGCCATTGTGAGCCACGTGGCGTGGGCGTCGTGCATTCGTTCAAAAGACCCTGCTCCATCCTAAATGACACATGTCACACATGATGACGTGACACTTGACATCTGTCAGAAATATTACTACGATTTTCGCTTTTAGTAGATTTTTGTGGCCGGGGTGGGAATTTGGAAAGAAACTGAAAGGAAATGTAAGGGATGAAGTTTACTTTTAGATTTGGAAAACAACACAAACGATACGTATGTGTGTGTGTGTTTACTTACAGTTATGATTGTATTACATAACTTCAAAATTGATGATCTGGGAATGTCAAATTTTCGATGATTTTTTAATAATTCTAAATTGTTCTATCAATTTTATTCTAATTTTTCCAAGTGTTTTGCATTTGCATTTTTTCGGATATTCTTCAAGTACTCCTTGACAAATTTTTAACTCATGCTTACGTATTTAACTCTTTAGTATTTCGAAAAATATTCGAGAACATACAATAAAAAAATCTATACGTCAATATTTTATTTTTTACGAAATAAACAATTTCTGTTACTATAGAAACAGGTCCAGGAACGACTATTATTTGTCAGTTACCATTTTTTTAAATTAGCTAATTTAATTGAACATTTTTGAAATAAAACGTTTTTAGGCGCGACTAGGGTGTAAATCCGTACAAATGCAACGGAAGTGCGTTACGGCAGATAAGATAAGATAAGAGTCGAGTGCCAATGATTCGTCATTTGCTCTCGATGATATCATTTCTATACGGGTCGATTGTGATTAGTCGTCGTGTATGTGAATAGAGATCTGTCGTTGTATGCGTACCGATATCAATAAGAACATACATCCTAGTACAAATCTTGATTCAATGAAAAATGTTTGAATCAGAAGAATATTTTACCCTGTTCCCTGAAAATAATAAAATAAATTAAACATTTGTGTCGTGTACTAAACGTAAGTTTATTGATTAGAATTTATTTCTATGTTATTCATAGCTTCTATAAATCTTTGAAGTTATTAAAATGGAAAATAGTTTTTAGGCAAGGCAGATATTGCAGCTGTTCAAAGAATGAGATTATATCTCCAGGGAAAAATTAAAAAAAAATACCACCAGTCAATGAATGTATGTTTATTTTAATTACATGAAGTTCTTCAAACACAATTATTACATGATGAGTGAAGTTGCGAAAACAATATTTGTTAACTTCCCGCAGGGCAAGTTATAGTAATCGCAAAAAAATCGAAAATGAAAATTTTTATATATCTTTACGTTTCAAAACCTTCTGAACATTTTGGCATACCTCAGAAAAAATGGATGTATGTGTGTGTGTGTATGTATGTACGGATACAAAATTTTGTCGACGATTTCGGGAACACGGATGAAGCGATTTGAATAATTCAAAAAATATTCGATTCGTATTGATAAGGAGACGTGCTGAGTAGTTTTTGGCGAAGGCAGACCTAGCCGTTCCGAAGATACGGGGCAAAAAGTGCCAAAAACGGTAACTCAGTTTTTAAGAGAACGGATTTTACGATTTGAATCATTCAAAAACATTTTATTTGTATTAACTGAGTGAAGAACTGTTCAAATTTTTGGAAAGACACGTGCAACGACTTCGGAGATATGGAGGAAAAAGTAAAAAAATGAGCCATTTAGCGGTCAAAAATAAACATTAGGCATATGCACATCAAATAATTAGATATTTTATGGAGATTTTAACAATAAGTATGAATTTTGTTTACAATCCTATGGGTTCCGTACCAATGTTTACGCGTTAGACGGCGACGTGGCGCTTATGCGCTTTGATATTTCGTCTTTATGCAGTTAAAGTAGTACGATTGCTTTGAAACAAAGTTCAGAATTTCCAAAATATTTCAAAATAAATGATTTAGGATAGAATGATTTTAAGATGATTTAATATGGTTCGAAATTCTATTAAAAGTTTCAAATCATTGATCAACTTTTATTGATTATTATTGATTATTTTTAATTACTCGAATTTTGAATTGCGGTACGGGAAGTTCCAGCAATTAGCCTTAAGGCACGAGGGCTTAATTGCCTCAAGACAGAATTTCACTTACAGCTAGTTTAGGTTTTTAGATTAACAATATTAATCAGCAATTACTTTATTTCTCTAATGAAGGTTCATTTTTAAATGCTAATTACAATGACAAACCGATCATTAACTTCACGTAGAGTAAGTTAAGTTAATTGTAATGGGCCGAAAATTGGAATTGAAAATTTTTACATTTCTCGACGTTTTGAATGTTTCTGAACATTTTGGCATGCCTCAAAAAAAGTGGATGTGTGTGTGTGTGTATGTATGGATACAAATTTCCAGTCACGTTTTCGGGCGCACGGATCAACCGATTTGAATGGTTCAGAAAACATTCGATTCCTATCGATAGGGAAAAAAGCTGATTAGTTTTTGGCAAAGGCAGGTCCTGCCGTTACGGAGATATGGAGCAAAGAGTGCAGAAAATAGAAATCGAGTTTTTGAGAGAACGGATCATCCGATTTGTATGATTCAGTTCGTAATGACGGGGAAAAGTGGTTATTAGTTTTTGGCAAAGGTAGGCCCAGCGATTTCGAAGATACAGAGCTACATGTGAAAAAAATGGCAGTTTTTGAGAGAACTAAGCGTCCGATTTAAATGATTCAAAGAACTTTCTGCTTGTTTCAAGAAAATAATTGCTTTTGAGAAAAAAAATTGTTTCTATTTTTTTTTTCAAAAAATATTTTTGTAATTTTGGATTAAAAATTCAAAAAATTATCCAGACTAAGCACAGTCTAAGCGCCACTCTGGTACAAATGTTTACCCAAGTGCATTTAGACTGTTTATGTACTGGAGCACTTTTCCAATTTTGTGAAAACTATTGAAAAATGTGAAAATGCCGCCAAGCTAAGCACAGTATAAGTGAAAATATCGTACAGATTCATTTGCAAATGCGTTAAGACTGTATACGGGAGCAATTTTTCAATTTTGTGTAAATTTAGGCAACTATTTTTTTTTTAAATTGAATTAGAAATGAGATGACGATTGTTAATGTTCAGGAGATAAATTGATTTATTTATAATTTACAGTTGATTTGCTCAGATATAACAATAAGATAGCAAAAATAATGAAAGTTACAGTATTTGCAATAATATATTTGAAAACGTTTAAAATTTCTCGAATATTTTCGAATCTCAGTTCCAGCAATTTGCCTTAAGGCACGATGCCATACACCACTAGTTTAAATACCATCTTGTACAGTAGCAAATAAGTTTTACTTACTTTTTAAAAAGTGACTTAACAAATATATTAACCTTTAACAAGTCCTTTCTATAACTCATCATTACTCCACCTCGTCCCTCGTATCCATTTATTTGATTGCCCAAAAGTTTAGTTTGGCCTCATCCTGCTGCTCCTTTTCCCCTGCTCCTCCGCCGTCTATTTCTCGTGTGCAATCGAGCAGAAATTGATTCAACGAAAATTTTAGTTGAAAAGGACAATCCATCATTCCGTGTGTTTTGTAATGAACGTCACATCGTGTGTTCGTCATTAATCAACTCCTCCTAGGGCTGCTGGAGGAGGAAGGACACAGAAATAAGGAGCAGCAATGTGGAGGAGCAGCGATACAGAATTTTTTTGGGCGATGGGATAAAGCAGTGTTTCCCAACGTGGGGCGCACGCCCCACCTGGAGGCAATTTGCAATTTCAGAGGGGCAATTTGAAAATTTTGGTGATTTTAATGTAATGTAGTATAGTATCGGTAAAACATTTAACAAAAAAATGCTTCTTAGATTTAACTAACAATAAGGTGTCCCGGTTTGACCGGGACAGTCCTAGTTTTCCTGGTGCCGCAGATATGTTTTTTCTGCCGAGTTAACCTGACTTTTTAAGCAGATTTGAAGAATTTGAATTTTTCCCATTACTTTATAATTAAATTACAAACTGCCTATATAAAACTAAACATTGTGAAAGAGAATGTTGCAAAATGCAAAAATTCTTTGGGTTCAAATAGCTCTTCACTAATTATTTTAAACTTCTATATTCCAATTTACAAAAAATTAGGTAAATCAAGTTTCTGACTGCTTTAAGGTCAGTGATAAGACTCGACTTGAAATATGCACAAGAAAAGTGATATTTACTACTAAAGTTAATTGCGAAGTTCAACGCGAAAAAACGTAAATAAAAAATATGACGTAAGGTTTTTACTCACTCGCAGTAACTATGGCTAAAGATGGATTTTATTTAAAACAAACTAATTTTTATTGCATCCTTAAATAGTAGATGGTTGACAACTAAGTGCGGCTTTTACTCTTATTGTTAGATTGCATCAAATGAATCTTTAGGTTTGCCGAGGTATTCTACATGTAAAACACTTTTTTTTATTATATAGTAAAAAATTCAGTTCTCAATTAGTAGAAAATACGGTTTTGATCGATTGCGTAGTTTTGTTCTGCATTCATTGAAAGATGGAATATCAAAACAAACATTTTAGTCAAATTTTGCACTCTTATTTCTGCAAAGGGTAAAACGATCTTCCCAAAGAATAGGTGCTGTTTATAGTATCCAAGCCTTGAAAAAAGCTATGTTAAAATTGGTTTTGAAAATGTAATTCTGGTGATTTTGCACTCGATGCTGCTCTGATTGTTCATTTAATATTTTAGACAATCTAATTAAAGCAATAATCGATTCGGCTAATAGAAATAATTTGGCTACATTTAAAAATTATTGGGAGTTGGTTGAAATTTTTCTCCACATTCACCAAATATTTCTGACCACAAACCATCTGATTAAAACCCTTGAACTTAAGAAAAAATCATGATGATATCAAATCGTGCCGGAAATAACAAAAGGTCATCGATCAAAATGATATACAGAACAAAGTTATTTAATTTCACGCAAAAATTGTCTTTGATGTTCTAACAAAAGATGCTCACTTAATTAGTTGCCAACCTGATAACTAAAAAAGATTTAACAAAAAAAGGTATATGAAATTTAAACATCATTCCATTCTTAGTTAAGAAAATGTCAACTATCTAAGTAGACTTGTTATGATATGGCTTCATAAAGAAACTGAAAC